AAAATGTATCAATCTTTCGGGAGACTTTTTTACAATTTTTGATAAACAGGAGAATCGTTTCGTTATGCATGGACCCACTTTACCTGAAGGTACAATATATAAAGATAAAGGCATCTTTTTTTGAATTCGTAGAAGAAGAATGACGGGTCCATTTTTCAGACTTCGGAAACCCAAAGTCTGAAGCGTTGATAATTTGTTTTGATGATCACAAAGTTGCATATTTCGAAGTACAGTATAATTGAATTTTTACCTCTGGAAACTTGTTCGAAAAAAATTTCAAGTTGAGATGCATTCTCATCCTTGAACGTTGCAGCAAAATATGCAGATTTTTCAATTTTTTTCATGAAAAATAAAATCATATAGGAGAATCAATGTACATCGAAAAGGTGTGTGTAAATGAGAAACATTTTTGGAAGCATTTCTGCATGAAATCAGCAGCTCGCATTTTTCTGTTTGTGCGTCTGCTGAGGACATAGAAATGCATTCTGAGGCTCGTGTGTCCACTTATATGGGTCCCTAATTACGTACTCTTTCCCACTTAATGTTAAATATTACTGTGTACGAACAGCAGCTTGGAACTACTCTAGTTTCTCGTCGCTGCGGAACTTGTACATGTCCAGCACGAGACTGCGTTCTTGAAGGATGTCCTCCAGACTGCCTCGGGCGCAGTAAGCCGTCACTATGCACACATTCCCGGGGTCAACACAGGCACCCAAGATTCCGTGCTATAACAGCACTGCGTCAAGGGAGTAGAACTCTTTTGCTTTTTCGGTATATGTATGTACGGTACACACATATTACTTCCTTTCCTTTTATACATAAATGTCGTGCTCTCCTGTACTTATATATGTAGAGCAAAAGATTCAACACACATAAATCGTCCGGAAAATGTGATATGCCATTGATGCCTGAGCAAATGTGCGAAAGGAACCCGCGGTGCTCTTTTCGGGTTGCTCAGCATTTCCTAGCTCGAACAAATCTATCGGGTTTCGCTTAGGTAATTAGTCATTCAGTTCTCTGTAATACAACTTAATCTCTTTTCGCCGACGGAAATATACTGTCTTTGAACAGGTATCAGCTATATAGACATGAAAGTCGGGCGAAAAAGTAACGTGATCCTTGTTCAAATGTATTATTGGGTGTGAAATGACGGCTGTTAAAAAAAAAAAGGAAAGAACCCGCGTGTTAAACGCTCCTTTACGCTAGTTTCCGTGTCCTTGAACCTAGGTCCTGCCTTCTTTTCAAAGAAGATACGCGTCTGTAGTCGTCTCTAAAAATCCTTCAACACATGTGAAAATTACCGATATTAATATTTCTCAATCATATGAACATTCCACAAGTCCTCAATCATATACATATTTCTCAATTCCTCACTCATACAAATATATTCCTCAATTCCCCAATCATATAAATATTCCTTGATCATAAAAACACTCCTCAATCGTACAAATATTCCTTAATTCCTCAATCGTATACGTATTCCTCAATTCCTCAAACATTCATATACTGTAGCAATATAGAAATATCGCTCTATCATAGAAATATAGCTCTATCATAGAAATATTGATGCTCAATCATAAAAACATATTCATATGCTCAATCATAAATTCCTCAATTCCTCAAACATTCATATACTGTAGCAATATAGAAATATCGCTCTATCATAGAAATATAGCTCTATCATAGAAATATTGATGCTCAATCATAAAAACATATTCATTACGAGTTAGTATTTTTGTATAAGTATACGAGTTAGTATCTTTATAACGGATTATAAACATAATGACATAAGGAGTTAGTACACTTATAAGGAGATAGTCGTATATTTATAAGGATTCAGTATATTTTATTCCTAAATCATATAAATATTCCTAAATCAAATAAATATTCCTAAATCATATAAATACTCCTCAATCAGCATATAAATATTCCTCAATCAGCATATAATATTCCCAATCAGCATATAAATATTCCTGAAATAAATATTCTCCGGCTATTTTTATGGCACATCCAAAAGTAATTTCAAATTATATTTTTCGAAGCTTTCTCACTATTCAATTATTCTCTGAAGGAAAATCAAGACTTGAGTGCTTACAGTTTGCAACTCCTTCCTCACTGCTCTCGTCAGGTCGACACTTCGCCTCGTCAGCGGCTTAATCGCCACCAATTCCCCTCTGTATCTGCCTGGCACAGTTCCAGGCCCGCGGCTGTTTGTTGGTGTCGAAAGCTGGGCCGCGAAACAGATCGACGACAAGTCCTGGCATTCACAGGAAGAAAAAAAGAAGGCAGCAGGAGGAAATACATTTGGAGTTTCTCAAAAGCATGGCAATTTCTCACACTTCGACCAATAAAAATATGTAAGGGTATTATCTACGATTCAGGGGCCATAATGGAGATCATGGCTCCTCCTAGAACTTATATAGAAATACTATATTTTCAAAAACATATAATAAGCTCTTTTAATGATAACACAAAAATTATATGAATGTTAGTCAATTCTTTTAAGTGGGCCGCAAAACAGAAAAACAAATAATACTCGCATTGTCATAAACGTAAAAAAAAAGATCTCAGAAATTTTTCGAAAAAATCCCAAAAGTAAAATCCCAAATGTAAAAAAAAACAGAGTCGCTGAATCAATAAACTATGTATTCTGCCATCCCAAGTCATGGGAATCACAGAACTTCAGAAATTGGAATGCCAAATTTTGCAAATGAATAATTGAGTTGTAAAATTTAAATCAACGAGGCAATGAAAACAATTTTTTACATTTACACACACAAAAATAATACAGTAGTGAGAAGGAATCAGAAGGAAATATTGTATATCAGCGGTTTCTCACACTACATTTGAAAGTTGCGAATACAATAAGAATTGATACAGTGCGAATTTGATGGAAATGAGAATGAAGTGCACCAGTGTCAAAAGATGTAGCGTAAAAGAAAAATTCAAGTTCGGAAACGCAGATACCACAACGAAAAAGGGCAACAAGAGGACATTTATTCAAAATTCCTCAAAAGTATTGAAAATGTAAACAAAGGAAGCAAAAAAAAACAAAGAAAGATAATTAATTTGCTCATTAATTAGCATAGACAGATTATAAAACTTTAGACTTCGGGAGAATTTCATTTGATGAGGAGCAACAAATTGCCAGCTCAAATTGGAGTATTTTTTTTAGATATAGCAAAAAGGTGTAGTGAAAATGTTTTAGAAGTTCAGTCTGACTTCCTATAAAGGCCAAATTTACAATCAATTTACAGTACTCAAAAATATTTCTGATTATACATACCTTCACTTCTTCCTCTTGTATAATTGAGTTTTTCAACTTTAAAACAATACGAACAAATGTGCAAAATTGAAATTTCTCGACGTTTCGCCAAAATTTAGGGAAACTCCTTCGCACAACCCAGATTACCAGGTCTGGAAAGCATAGAAAGGAACAGGAGATAAGTAAAAAAAAAAGGCAAACGTCTTACTTGACGAGAGTCGGGATCCAGGAGAAAAAGCGCAGAATCGTAGCTTTGGGTCGGGGATGGCGCGTATCGCGTGTTGCTGCATTTCCGACTGCCTCCCGTCTCTGCTGAATCGTTGCCAAAATTGGTCTCGGAATTCAAATTCGTGCCACTATTAGCGTCCTCTTCGTCTGCTTGAATTGTCTGGAAAGAGGGATACGGAAATTTAAATGCTCATCTAAATTTTGCACCTGAGGGTTTCATTTTTTTTTGTCGAGGATATTCATAGACTTTTTGCGACTTCTGCGGTCCACTTCATCAGTTTCAGTTCATGTCATCGCAGTTTTTTTTAAATTTGCTGAATATTTTATTTCTGAAATAAAATCAACACGTCTTAATGCTATCGCATTTTATGCATGCAATAAAAAAATAACACAGAAAATTGCCAGCAAAATGTCGGCCAATTCCACATGCAACGTTGACAATTGAAAAAATACCGATTTTTAATTTTCAAAATGCTGCAGTAGTTTCAGCTAATTTTCAATTGCAAAAATAAATTTTTTGATTAAAAGCTCACGAATGAAGATTTCACCTGAGGCTTTTTTGACGTTTGTATCATCTTTTTTGATCAGGAAATATTTTGGTGCATATATTTTGGGCCACTTCGCAGTTCGCAATCTCGTCTCTGCGGCCTTCACTTATTGAGGTTGTCAAAAAAATTCGCACACTCGCTCGCTTCTCACATTTACAATTTTTACCTGCAGTCCAATTATTCTTTTCATTGTTGAATTAATATGCTCCTCGTCACAGCAAATTTTGACCTCCGGGTTTTTTCCTCGTGCAGAAAAATGAGCAGATTTTATATGCATGGGATTTCTGCAACGAATTCGGATGCGGTACAGATTTGATATCGAAAAAATCCGATGAAAAGCTGTCTTTGACGAAAAGAGAATCGCGAGGCTGAGAAGAGTTCGTGAAACTTTACGAAGCTAGGTCACGCACGAGGTCAAGAAGCTGTTTTGATTGCAAATCTCTTGTCTGCTCTGCTTTATTCGGAAACCAATAGGGACTCTGTATAGTCTAGTGCATCGGATTCGAAGTCTCTTTCTCTCTCTTGGGAAACATGCCCCGTTTCATCCGGAAATTGAAAATCCCTTCGTCTCACTATAGAGAGACACTCGAGGGTTAATCCCAAATTGTGCTATACAGTCATATTTTTCAAGCAGTATTTGCCAAAAGAAAATAGCTGACTTCTGCTGGATGGACCCCGGGGCGAAATTTCCAGGTTTTTCCTATGAGAATAATTTTTAAAAATTAACTCCTGACTTTCATATGCACGGCGAAATAATTGACAACTGTGTCTTTTATGCTTTCTTTCATCTTAGATGTGAAACCCTAGATACTTTTTCCTATTAGGTAAAGTCACCTACGCGAAAAGTACGTTTCGGATTATTTAGGTATTCTTTCGTAACACGTCTTTAAATAAGTAAAGTCCTTGCGGTTTAATTAGCCAAACAAGTTTTCCTCAGAAGAAAAAGGGTAAAAGGAGAAAAAAATCAAATCATTGTAGAATTTAGTGATGCAAATAACTTGTTCCAAATATGGATTTTTTGAAACATCAGGTATTTTATTTAGACAAGATACAATATAAGATTTTTATTAATCTAGATTTGTTCTATTCCTCACAAATTGCATTGATTAAATTATATCCGGTGGAGTACGTGATTACATATTGAAAGGATCCTTAATTGAAGAAAACCTTTACATGTCATATTTCAAACAAAACCTCCAATAGTTTTGAGCGATTTACTAAATGTAGATAAAAATAATTTTGAGAGAAATTTAACCTTTTAAAGGAGTGTAAATAAGTTTTTATGTCTAACACTGAAGCATCTAACTTATAATTTTTTTGCATTTTCATTCCGAGAGGTTCATTTGCATGCTCTTGATTTCATGTACTGTATATTAAGCAAGGGATAAAATGGTATTTTCAACTTAATTTTTGCTGTCTACAAATCCGGAATTTTTTCATTGCATGATAGGTGTCGCCTGAATGCATTAATGTCTCTTCAGGTTTGGCACATGTTCACTTTTCAGGGCCAGAGATTGTCATGTCCATTAAATTGAAGAAGTGTTCATGATTTTTTGGCTCATGATGAGTCGGGTTAGCTAGTGATTTAGAGATTTTAGGCAACATCTGCTTACCGAATTTATTTCAGAAAAAAGGTATATGAAACAAAGAAAAATAATTCAAGATATCATGAACAATTCGGAAGGAATTTTTAATACAGTAGTTAAGAACATGAGACTCAAGGAAATCTGAAACCATAATGTTTCAGTCCTGAATTGTTGGCGAACTTCACAGAATGGCTCCTCACATTGCAAAATCCAAATATTCAAAAATTGATTGAAAAATGCGGACGCTAGTACTAGTTCTGACGTTAAAAGAAACACCTCCCATTGGGAAGTAAAGACGCGTAACGTAAAGAAAGTGCTATAAAGCTTACCATATCTCCTTGAAAAACTTTTTGGTATACTTGATTAGGCCTTAAAAATAAAATCTGAACTCCCAGCCTGAGGAAATTGCTTTTTCGGTTCTGATATTTTCCATCATCACTATATTACACACTGATGGAAATCCTCCCTCGTGTATGCAAAACAAATTTTTTAAAATCAAATTTCCTTATGAAAACTCAAGATCCAAGAAACTTTCCCTACGTTGCCATAAAAAATTTGTTTCCCGACAGAAATATCTTTTTTTTAAGAAAGAAGCTTGCTGACAACGAGAATCACTTTGAATATTTCGAAAATGTTTTTCTAAATAGCTGAATACGAAAGACAGAAACATGTAAAGATGAAAGAAAATCGTGGGCTGCTGCATATACTCACATTTTCAAGAAAATCTTCATCATCTGAAGGGATGAGTACCACAAGGTCTTTCGCGTCAATTTTCCACAACAGACAAGCAAGTTTCTGCTCATACCTGTAGTGTCTATTAGGAGTCAAAGAAAAATTGGAAATTTACACATGAAACAGGTTTTAATGCAGTGATTTTTTTATCCTGAAACTGCATGTGTCCTCTGTATATAAGTTTACTTGCATTCACACAGATGTAGATTAAATTTGCTTATGCAGGCAGTGGACTTTCTCTACAATAATCTTATCTAAGTATATTTTCTTCTTATAACACATTTTTGGTTGGTCCCATGGTGTCTCCCTCAAATTTAGAGGTTGTCTACAACAAAATTCTGTCTGCATAAATTTTTTCTGGTCCCTTGAAATTTGTTGCAGGGAGCATCCACCTGTATTTTATTATCCTTATACATTAGGGTGAGTTTGAATCTTAAATTTTTTTTTCAGTCTGAGATTTATGCGACACAGACTCAAATTTTTTAAATTGAGAAGAGAAAGCTCTTCAGAAAAAATTCCAAGAAATCAAGGAATTTACCTGAACAATGTTGCAACACCAATCAATATTATGCATCCAACCAGACTGCCAAGTGCAACAGCACTCCAGTTGGCTCCATGGTCACACTTGGAACCATCAAAACCACATTCTGGTTCAGCTCTTGGTGGAGCACCTTTCCACCAGCTGATTTGTTTCATGGGGTCCAAATATTTGAAGTTCTGCAAATAATTTCACATTTTTGTATTGTTTTTCCTTTCTTACATAGAGATGAATGATAAATTTTGGCATCATTTTCTATGCCTTCTGAAATTTGCTGATCTTGAGCTTGGAAAAAATTCAAGTATGAATTCATTAAAGTCCAATAAAAGCCAGAGCAAGGAATTTCGTTGATAATTGCCTAAAAAATTTAAGGAACAGATATTTTATTTTTTCTTACATCTTTTGAAAATTAGTTGTGAATTTTCAATATTTAAAATTGAACAGCCAGCTTTTCCAAATTTTCTTAACAGGTATTTTATAAAACTGCAAGGACAAGGTTCCCAAGGGTTGAAATTTCTGTTGCATATAAAATTTTGTTTTTAATTGATTGACTTGAGATCTTTTCCAGATAAACATGGAAAGTAGAAAATTTGAAAATTAATGTAATTTCGACGGACCACAGAAATCTGATAAATCTTTGAGGTAATAACTTCAAGATATGTTTCAAAAGGAACTGAAATTTTCCCTGAGCACAAATCTTGAAAAATTTGCGTGATTCTCACTGGCAGCAGGTTGTTGTCTGATCTCGTCACCACCCTTCTGTTTAACATGTTTTTCACTCGGTGACCAACGTACGAAAACGGGTTACTACGGCACCCCAGAAGGTTTTCACGTTAGTGGCACATTAAGGGAAGGCGCAGAGGCAAAAGTAGATAAATCGTCTGAAACAAAAAAAGCAAGAAACCATTAACATAAATAATAATCAATCGTGATGAAAATTACTTTTCGAATGAAGTCACCTGAAATCCCAGGACAGAGTCATACCACGTTCCAAGAATTCGGGACATGATTTCGGAGCCATTTTTAAGATCGCCGCCATTTTCAAGAACTTCTGTCGCGGCTTTTGCGTACAGAAGAACTGAATCATATGCTAGAGCTGCTGTCAAAGGCATCTGCAGCAGAAAAAAAAAAGCTATCACGCCTACAGAAAATGTCAACACTTTTCGCAAAAGAAAAAAATATTTCTGAAAGCTTTCCATAAGGTTTTGAAAATTTTGTTTTCAAAAAGGCGCGAAGACCTTGAAACACTCACCCACCAACTTTCAGAAATGAGTTCATGAAATGGAACGCAAAAAGGCGCCGCGTGGGCTCTTTGTTTCATTTCTCTCGCAATCCGGCTGCAAAAATCATTATCAAGATGAACTCGACTTCCGATTGAAAAAATAACTTAATTTTATGAGGAAATATAATCTTTCAATCACCTGTAATTATCATTGATGGTGTGAGTCGGGGCAACTTTCAGCAAGTGCTCGAAAGGCGCCATCAATTCTTTCGTGATGTTCGCATATCCGCCGAATGGATCCAAATAATCTGGACAAACGATAATTTCTCAGTATAATTTTTGAAAAAAAAAAAAATCACGAGGATATCATAAATATTTGTTGTTATTGAATTATTCAAGAAATGTATTATAATTTTTACTGAGGCTTGCAAGACTTTACTTCACGAATTGGGTCCCGAAAGGAACTAATTCTTAAACAACGGCACAAATTTTGAAGTGTCCCTTGCTCCCCCGGGTCATCAACAATCTCTTGACGGGATTCTCCCGAATAATACAGTATGTTTAAAAAAAATAGAAAAGGAGGAGCACAGCCATACCAGCAACTTCCCAAGACGACTTTTGAGACCGGTTTAATGAACAAACTTTCGAAATTTCGCCGGAAAGTATCACACTCCCCTTTTGCACACGGAGGCTAAAAAAAAAAATTTGTATCCTATGGAATCTAATCACGAGTTTCCAGTCATGCCAACTTTTTGATGAAGAAGAGCAATATATCTTAAAACTTTTTGAAGTGGGGACACTTCATACGAGCACCACGTAAATGGAATTCGAATGAAAGTTTAAAAAATCTGACCCTGCTGACCTTGAGCGTACCATAAAAAAAATCTTCACAAAAATTCGATGGGTGAACCTTCCCTCGATTTTATATTCAAAAATTTCGTCATGAAAAGGACCATCAGAGATAATCATAAGTTATCAAAAATATGCCAAATCCTGGCCAGAACTCTATATATGAAGCATAGAAACCTCATAACCACAAAATGTTGTGTTTGGGTACAAAAAATGGCTTTTTAACGATTTTCTACAGTGTCAAGACCTTTCAACATGCTCAAATTCTGATGCCTGACCATTAAAAATATGTTCCTTATCTGGAAGTTATAACCCTTGCACAAGAAACTCAATTTTTGAGAACATAGGACATATCTTTTAAATGGAAATATCAATCAGCTCTCCAAAAGAGTAACTTTTAAGCTCCTCTTGAAAGGTTTGATTATCCATAATAAAAATGTTTCCTTCCTAAAAACATATAAACGGAAAAAAAGATCCACATCATGTTAGATTTTACTTCTTTTGACATACAGTATTCCTTTAAAATGATTCTTCGCTTTTGCCTATCAGAGCTATTGGATTTATTTGAAAGTGCATGTGTTGGTGAAAACTATCAGTGCAATCTAAGAATCTGGGACATGAAAAATTTTAAATCACAGCCTAGGAATTCCCATACAGTTATTGAGAGTTGATTATTGCTGTGCGCCTGTTTCCTAAATTTTATTTTTAACTTCTTCGTCATGAATTTCCAACAATTCTCATTCTCCATGCCAAATAAAATTATAGGATAGGCGGTTCTTCCAATCACTTTCTCGCACACATTCGCGGAAATAATAAATCAATTCTGGTCAAACAATGTCCCTTAAACTCTGACAGAAAAAGGTTGGATCCTGTTCCCATCTTCTCCAACAGACGAAAATAAAACAGAGGTCTCCCTTTGAAGGAAAAAAATGGGACGAAATTGAGTCACCCAATAACGGTATCAGTCTGTCAATAAATTCTACCAGTGTAGCAAGGTAACATAGGATTCAGCAGGAGAAGAAAAAAATAAGATGGATTCGAAAATACATTCAAACCTCTCGCTATAAATGGAATGTCCAGTGACCAGCAAAAATATCTGCTTTGTGAGGTTTCCAGGTAGGGAAACAAGCAATTTCGTTGTGGGAAGCATGGAATAATTGCAGGAATTGTAATTGGTGATATTCTGGGCCTTGTATTGCATGAGTTGACAAGACACTGAACTTGGAGGAAAAGGTTCAATCACCCAATTTATTCTTTGACTTCCNGATTCTCACTGGCAGCAGGTTGTTGTCTGATCTCGTCTGGTGGGAAGACAAATTGTACAAAAAGTGAGCCACTGGTTGCATGCTTTTGCCCAATGATGCCGTGGGGTCTTCCAAAAGTGCAATCACCGTGTAATTCCCTTCCGCGTCTCCGTTTTCATCTATTTTCGTCTGAAACAAAAAAAGCAAGAAACCATTAACATAAATAATAATCAATCGTGATGAAAATTACTTTTCGAATGAAGTCACCTGAAATCCCAGGACAGAGTCATACCACGTTCCAAGAATTCGGGACATGATTTCGGAGCCATTTTTAAGATCGCCGCCATTTTCAAGAACTTCTGTCGCGGCTTTTGCGTACAGAAGAACTGAATCATATGCTAGAGCTGCTGTCAAAGGCATCTGCAGCAGAAAAAAAAAAAGCTATCACGCCTACAGAAAATGTCAACACTTTTCGCAAAAGAAAAAAATATTTCTGAAAGCTTTCCATAAGGTTTTGAAAAATTTTGTTTTCAAAAAGGCGCGAAGACCTTGAAACACTCACCCACCAACTTTCAGAAATGAGTTCATGAAATGGAACGCAAAAAGGCGCCGCGTGGGCTCTTTGTTTCATTTCTCTCGCAATCCGGCTGCAAAAATCATTATCAAGATGAACTCGACTTCCGATTGAAAAAAGAACTTAATTTTCTGAGGAGATATGATCTTTCAATCACCTGTAATTATCATTGATGGTGTGAGTCGGGGCAACTTTCAGCAAGTGCTCGAAAGGCGCCATCAATTCTTTCGTGATGTTCGCATATCCGCCGAATGGATCCAAATAATCTGGACAAACGATAATTTCTCAGTATAATTTTTGAAAAAATAAGATAAAATAACGAGGACTGAGATGTCATCACAATTATTCGTTATTTTTGAATCATTCAAGAAATGTATTATAATTCTACTGAGGTTTGCAAGACTTTGATTCACGAATCGGGTCCCGAAAGGAACTACAGGTATAATTCTTAAACACTGGCACGATTTTGAAGTATCCCTGGCTCCCCCGGGTCATCAACAATCTCTTGACAGAATTTTCCCAAATAATACCGGTATGTTTTAAAAAATAGAAAAGGAGGAGCACAACCATGCCAGCAACTTCCCAAGACGACTTTTGAGACCGGTTTAATGAACAAACTTTCGAAATTTCGCCGGAAAGTATCACACTCCCCTTTTGCACACGTAGGCTAAAAAAAATTGTATCCTATGGAATCTAATCACGAGTTTCCAGTCATGCCAACTTTTTGATGAAGAAGAGCAATATATCTCCAAACTTTCTGAAGTGGGGACACTTCATACGAGCACCACGTAAATGGAATTCCAAATGAAAATTTTAAAAATCTGACCCTGCTGACTTGAGCGTACCATAAAAAAAAATCTTCACAAAAATTCGATGGGTGAACCTTCCCTCGATTTTATATTCAAAAATTTCGTCATGAAAAGGACCATCAGAGATAATCATAAGTTATCAAAAATATGCCAAATCCTGGCCAGAACTCTATATATGAAGCATAAAAACCTCATAACCACAAAATGTTGTGATTGGGTACAACACATGGCTTTTTAACAATTTTCTACAGTTTCAAGACCCTTCAACATGCTCAAATTCTGATGCCTGACCATTCCAAATATTTTCCTCATCTGGAAGTTATAACCCTTGCACAAGAAACTCAATTTTTGAGAACACAGGACATATTTTTTAATGGAAATATTAATCAGCTCACTAAAAGAGTAACTTTCAAAATCCTGTTGAAAGGTTTGATTATCCATAATAAAAATGTTTCCTTCCTAAAAACATATAAACGGAAAAAAAGATCCACATCATGTTAGATTTTACTTCTTTTGACATACAGTATTCCTTTAAAATGATTCTTCGCTTTTGCCTATCAGAGCTATTGGATTTATTTGAAAGTGCATGTGTTGGTGAAAACTATCAGTGCAATCTAAGAATCTGGGACATGAAAAATTTTAAATCACAGCCTAGGAATTCCCATACAGTTATTGAGAGTTGATTATTGCTGTGCGCCTGTTTCCTAAATTTTATTTTTAACTTCTTCGTCATGAATTTCCAACAATTCTCATTCTCCATGCCAAATAAAATTATAGGATAGGCGGTTCTTCCAATCACTTTCTCGCACACATTCGCGGAAATAATAAATCAATTCTGGTCAAACAATGTCCCTTAAACTCTGACAGAAAAAGGTTGGATCCTGTTCCCATCTTCTCCAACAGACGAAAATAAAACAGAGGTCTCCCTTTGAAGGAAAAAAATGGGACGAAATTGAGTCACCCAATAACGGTATCAGTCTGTCAATAAATTCTACCAGTGTAGCAAGGTAACATAGGATTCAGCAGGAGAAGAAAAAAATAAGATGGATTCGAAAATACATTCAAACCTCTCGCTATAAATGGAATGTCCAGTGACCAGCAAAAATATCTGCTTTGTGAGGTTTCCAGGTAGGGAAACAAGCAATTTCGTTGTGGGAAGCATGGAATAATTGCAGGAATTGTAATTGGTGATATTCTGGGCCTTGTATTGCATGAGTTGACAAGANTGTCCCTTAAACTCTGACAGAAAAAGGTTGGATCCTGTTCCCATCTTCTCCAACAGACGAAAATAAAACAGAGGTCTCCCTTTGAAGGAAAAAAATGGGACGAAATTGAGTCACCCAATAACGGTATCAGTCTGTCAATAAATTCTACCAGTGTAGCAAGGTAACATAGGATTCAGCAGGAGAAGAAAAAAATAAGATGGATTCGAAAATACATTCAAACCTCTCGCTATAAATGGAATGTCCAGTGACCAGCAAAAATATCTGCTTTGTGAGGTTTCCAGGTAGGGAAACAAGCAATTTCGTTGTGGGAAGCATGGAATAATTGCAGGAATTGTAATTGGTGATATTCTGGGCCTTGTATTGCATGAGTTGACAAGACACTGAACTTGGAGGAAAAGGTTCAATCACCCAATTTATTCTTTGACTTCCTTTCAAAATACATCAAATTCTGTATCATCACTTTTCTCTCTCCTCTGTCAAAAAAAAAAAGCAAAAAAAGACCTCAAGAAAACTTGGCTTATGGAGGTTCAAGAGGAAAAGCCTTTGAGTTAGAGAGGTTTTCAATGCATTGTTTTTAAGGGAACCCAGACCAGGACCTGAAAAAAATTGACTTGGGAAGGTATTTGACTTAAGAAGGTTCAAGTTATCAAGGTTCAACTGTATATCCCGCGATTCCCAGTGTATAGGGGTAAAAATAAAAAAGTATAGGCAACCCTTTTTCCTAACGTGAACTTGATTTAAAAAAAAAGTATATACAGGTATAATGTATATATGACATGGGCTTTCGGGACACTCACCAACGATCATGTATTGATCCTTTGAACCCTCGGGATCATACACTGCATCATCAATGGAAAGCACCATGTATTCCCCGGTTGCCAGATATCCAGTGATGTGGAAATACCTCATGAAATCGACCAGAGCCAGATGCTCTCCGATGAACACATAAACTGGTAGAAGGAAAAATATAAGAAAAATTCGGTCAAATCGAGAACCTGATAGAATTATCAGCTCGATATTGTGCCCAAAAAACACACTTATTCGAACATGAAATAAACTCAGTCATAAGCAATTATTGCTTTATGAGAAGATGCAAGTCGTAAAATTCAAGACTTAAATTCTTCGAAATTGTCTGAAAACTTCCGAGTAAATGATAAAATGCATCAACCTATACTGAGGCTGAAAGTCTCAAAAACATCACCCAGGACGTTTATTGAATTACTGACCTGAATGATAAATATATGTTCTGCTTAGTATTCTAAAAACTTTTTATTATTATTATACTACCTAATGCACGTATATTTCCGACATCAATTTTTAAACAATGCTCCTGATATAGTAAAATAACAGAGGAATCTTAATAAATTTCATCATATTTTCGCCAGTTCTTCGTCGCAAACTACTGATTAGTTTGAAATGGAAATCGGGTCTCTCAAAAAACAAAATGAGAAACCTTTCACGTACCCTTTTCGAAAATGAAATTTTGAAAGCTTTGCTTTTTACATATAATGTATTCAGACTTTTCATGAATTTCCTAAGACTCTCAGACACAAAATAATTCAACCTCTTTTTTCCCTAGATCAAAAAACCGAACAAGTATGAATTGTATTTTTGGGAATTCAAGCTTATGACATTTTTTCTTGGGGAAAATCCCCGTGTAATTTTGCACATTCCAATTTTTGGACAATTATGGAATCAAATAAAATTGAATAATCGTCCGCAAAGTCAAGAAAAATATTGACAGGCCGCGAACATTGAATTGAATGACTACAAATAAAATAAAATACTTGTATGTAATTATTTAAAATATGGAGAAATCAAATCAAAAGATACTCACTGCGAGTGTTTTTCAGTGTTTTCCAGATAATCGCTTCTAGTTCAGAAGACGGGAATCGACGGTAATCAGAAAAATCCGTCCTTCCTATTATTCGTATCCCGCTTGCAGCTGACAGTGACTGCACAAAAGAATCCATCAAACATTTTTCCTACTTTACTTTCTACTTTCACAAAGAGAAACCCTTCAGAAAACAGGTCTAAAAATAAACCAGAGCTGCCTCATATATAAAAGAGAATCGAAAAAATACCTCAATAGCACCAGCGATTTGAGAGAATTCGGGTCGTTGATCCACAACTAAATACACCATGTTCCAACCAAATTCCCTCAACAGAGCCACGACTGATTTGGAAATCTTGTTTGACGGAGACAAAGTCCTCAAGAAGGTTGTGTAAACGTTTTTATCCGTCACCGATTCGTCTGCACACATCTAAAATTAATAAAGAATATTTATTCAAGCAAGTTTTCCATTATCATAATGAGAGGAGCAATATAGTAACAGAACCTAACTCTTTCTTCAGTGATGAGAATCTGGAAAACTTTCATGCCAGATTCTTATCTCACTGACCTGCAAGCTTTTGGTGCCAACAGTGACTGCAAAAGCCTTGTTAAATATGTAGGATACATGTGTCACCTAAACATTAACGATACCTAAGATATAACTGAACAAAAGAATGCGCGGATTGCAACAATGGGGAATTCCAAAGAATTCCCACATTTGTGCACTATCTAGTTTTCGAATCGCCTTTAGAAAAGAAACACACACTCAATGTTGAACCGCCAAAGCATTCGTAAGTGTTGCTATCGAACTTGTTGCTGTCGGTGAATTCTTACTCTTTCCCAATTGTGTTTAGTTATTTGATTGAAAGTTTACAACTTGAATTTCTTCTGTGAATTACACTTTTTCTTCTTTTTTGGAGATTCTACCAAGAATCTCCCTGCCAAGTTCCTCAGCGGATCGTTGTGTTTTGATTATTTCTTCTCAATTTACAACCTTTGTTGGAATCATCCAGAAAATACATGAATAAAATTATTTCTGCAACACGTAAGTGTAGTCTTTTTTGGCTGCATATTTTAGACTTGGTTGTCATGGGAGGAAAGATGGTGGCAAATAGGCAAACTTTCCAATTCTAGGAATAATTAGAAAGATTGGAAAGCAAAACAAAACAGGCAGTATTTCTGTAAAAATAATATCCAGTGATTTTCTTTTGAAACACTTCAAGGTTTTCGTTGATTGAGATTCAGAAGGGATCCACATTGGTCTGCAAGACCGTTTTACAACTTCATCAAAATCAAATAGACAGAAAAAAGAATGTACTGTACTTACACTGGTGATCATAGGGAGGTTCCAGGCAGAAGCAGCCAAAGCATCAGCGTAACACTCAGTGTCCACAGAAATGAACCCAACCACTCCTTGTTCTCTCATTGCAGTCATCCTATTCACATGAAAGAAATACAAAATAATCACAACCTGAAAAATCTCCCATTTTGACCCTACTAAAGCATCTAAATACAGTATAACATTACTTTTTATTTTGAATATTTTTCAATTTCCCTCATCATTCCTTGAAATTTTTGATCAAACCTGAGCAATGATGATGATGCTTCATGATTTTCTGAGATGACCTCACCTAAATTATTCATTATGCTTAATCTTACAGCAATGGGGCAACACATTTTTGAAAAAAACGCAGCGCTCAAGAACATGGAAAAACATATACTGATTAATGTAGCCGAAGTACAGGAAAAGCAAAATTTTATTCCCTCTTTATTGACGCACACAATTATTGGAAAAATAAATTCCTTGCTTGGTGGCCTTTTTCTGCTTTCCCACCATAGATATTGTGGAGCGAATGAAAAAAAATGCACAAATTTTAAAATAAATTACAAGCTATTCTAAAATCTGCGTTGACTATTAGACCCACATGCTGCATTGAAAAAAGTTTTCCGAACATTATTTAAAACATTCAAAAGGTTAAAGATTAGGCACTTGAAGATTTCTAGTGAATGCATTCATGTCAAGCCCCAGCCGATTTTGCAGCAAACATATTATTTAACTTCTGGGAAACTTAAAAAAAACATATTTTTCAAATTTGTCAAGTTAAAAAAATGAATAATTTCGAAAAATTAACCTCTTGAGCTTGTTGACTTCGGACGCCTTGGAAGTGCCGACATCCGCCGCAGAATAAACCAGAACAGCGTCGGGTAGCAAGTCCGGTCTTGCATTCACATCCGCCACCGCCTTCGGAATGGCGCCCAAAATCACGTTGGCGGCCTGGTAAGTCGCGATCAATCCGATCTTGACGACATTTTCTCCGAATTGAGCGGCGCCTGCGACGGGTTTCCTCATCCTGGCGGCTCCAACATCCGGCTTCCCTGATCCGTCTTCCGCTTCCTCTTCTGCTGATGGCCGAATCAGAAGCCGGAAATAGAAACGACCGAAGCAACATTGATGTGATGATGAGGTGCACAGAAAAATATTTTTCTCTTATTGTGCTGGTACCTTTCTGGATTTACTGAATCAAAAATTAACGGCTATTTTTCAGACGGAGAATAAGTCAAAATTCAACAAACTGCAGTACAGAACTGTAATTTCGCAAACTAAAAATTAGACTCTTGAATCGTCACGAAGAAATACCCAGTAACTGAATATTTCCCCCATTTTAAAATCCTTTTCGGCAAAATCCAGTTCAAAATTACATGATCAACATTAAAATCAAAAGAGGTTGTGGATCGCGAGTTAAATCTTGTCTCATTTCTTCCAATTTTTCATACGAACGATGCAATAAAATACTGTATTAGACCGAAAATGTGCTTTAATATTTGATTAATGAGTGATCCTTCTTCCGATGACCGAATCATAGCCGGAAGTAAAGAAGAGGAAAAGGAAATTGCCCAAAGGTATGGGAACATTTTCATAACATCTGTCAGGTTTTTTGAAACAACTTCGCGTAGGAGAGACTTTTCTTAAAATACTCAAGTTGATTGGAAGTCTATATAAAAGTTAATCGTTCTACAAGAATTTTCATTTGTTCTTGTTTGTCAATCTACGAGGTTTTTAAAAAAGCAGTGAACAATACACAGCACTGTACTACAATTCTTGAGCTGTAGTATTTCTCGCAGAATTTTACAAATCCTGGTCAAAAAATGAACAATAAAAATTCATTAACATTTTTGAATGATATCCAATTTGTACCGAAGTTCACACAACTATACTAGTTACGTACGTATGTGCTTCTTTTATAAAGGCCTTTTTTCAATGGTTAACGAAAGAGTAATTTCAACATCATGATACATAATTTTTAACAGGGTCCGTGTGTTCACTTTGAAAAATTGTATAATCGTCAGCCAGCATGCAATACTTTTAAGGAGTCTAGAATGTTACTTAATGCTGTTCAAAATTTTATTCCAATATATTCCGACGATTGGAATAATGATAGAAGATGAGAAAAAATTTCGGTGGCGGCAGATTTCGGCGGAATTTTATTTTGTTTATTTTTGCACGTCAGTTAATTTTTTTTAATGCAAGCAGGAATTTTTTTTCCTCGTCAAGAAAATGGGTACTGTATTTTCTTTACGAAACCTTGCCGCAATTTACTAATGATTCCCATTCATTCGAGGAATGCAGTACTTCAGAAAATAAATCAGACCTCTTAGCTAAATTTGATAAAGTTCCTTGGAACTAATCACACAAATCAAAACTCGCACACCAGGAATATTTTTCAGCGTGGACTCCGTTTTATCAAAGCTGCAAAAAATAATAAAAATAAACTCATCTGTCGCAATGTACGCATTAAATCAGGAAACACATTCGGGTAAAAGGCGTAGATACTTTCAATCCGAAATGCGATAAAATTTCCTCTCTAACTAACGAACATATTGATTTATTGACAGCGAGGTTAGAGAAAAACGATTTCCGAAATGAGTTCGTATAAATGTAATGAAAGTACAGAATACGCTCCAAATTTAGATCCTCGCGTATTTTTTCCTTTGAAAATTCTTCGGGACTTTTTGCACCATTCCGTGCAGAATTAAGGCTCTTCAAAACGATAAATTTCAGAATTTTTGATCCCAATAAGTTCACTGAAAATAAGGTTGTAAACATTTTAATACTGTACAGCAAACTTTTCAGGATTTTCTTCAAAAATCCTGGAAGAAACACGATTTCATACATCTTGAAAATAATTTTTCAAGATTCAGGGCAAATAATATTTTTTATGATTCACTGTGAAATTCACGTATAAGTTTTACGGTTCGTTTTTGTATCAGAGAAATTTCCCTATTTCTGCTTTTGGCAGTACTGTATTTTTGTGGAAAAAAGTTCAATTATTTTGGAAAATGATGGGAGCAGGCCGCAAAAATAACCCGAGCATAAAAANCATGGCTTCAAGTGTGTTGATATGATCAATGCATGCATACACGAAGAAAATATTTCCGGAAAAAAGTTACCAATTGCTTTCTCATTAAAGTTGTAGTACTATGTATTAAAAATTGTCCCAGGCACACCTACTTCACTTTGAAAAATTGTATAATCGTCAGCCAGCATGCAACACTTTTAAGGAGTCCAGAATGTTACTTAATGCTGTTAAAAATTTTATTCCAATATATTCCGACGATTGTCTTGGAATAATGATAGAAGATGAGAAAAAATTTCGGTGGCGGAAGATTTCGGCGGAATTTTATTTTGTTTATTTTTGCACGTCAGTTAATTTTTTTTTAATGCAAGCAGGAATTTTTTTCCTCGTCAAGAAAATGGGTACTGTATTTTCTTCACGAAACCTTGCCGCAATTTACTAATGATTCCCATTCATTCGAGGAAGGCAGTACTTCCGAAAAAAATCAGACCTCTTAGCTAAATTTGGTAAAGTTCCTTGGAACTAATCACACAAATCAAAACTCGCACACCAGGAATATTTTTCAGCGTGGACTCCGCTTTATCAAAGCTGCAAAAAATAATAAAAATAAACTCATCTGTCGCAATGTACGCATTAAATCAGGAAACACATTCGGGTAAAAGGCGTAGATACTTTCAATCCGAAATGCGATAAAATGTCCTCTCTAACTAACGAACATATTGATTTATTGACAGCGAGGTTAGAGAAAAACGATTTCCGAAATGAGTTCGTATAAATGTAATGAAAGTACAGAATACGCTCAGAATTTAGATCCTCGCGTATTTTTTCCATTGAAAATTCTTCGGGACTTTTTGCACCATTCCGTGCAGAATTAAGGCTCTTCAAAATGAAAAATTTCAGAATTTTTGATCCCAAGTTCACTGAAAATAAGGTTGTAAACATTGTAATGCTGTACAGCAAACTTTTCATGATTTTCTTCAACGATCCTGGAAGAAACACGATTTTATAAATCTTGAAAAGAATTTTTCAAGATTCAGGGCAAACAATATTTTGTATGATTCACTGTGAAATTCACGTATAAGTTTTACGGTTCGTTTTTGTATCAGAGAAATTTCCCTATTTCTGCTTTTGGCAGTACTGTATTTTTGTGGAAAAAAGTTCAATTATTTTGGAAAATGATATATGATTCACTGTGAAATTCACGTATAAGTTTTACGGTTCGTTTTTGTATCAGAGAAATTTCCCTATTTCTGCTTTTGGCAGTACTGTATTTTTGTGGAAAAAAGTTCAATTATTTTGGAAAATGATGGGAGCAGGCCGCAAAAATAACCCGAGCATAAAAATTTGAGCCTCCAAATTTCAGGAAAAAATTTCAAAGTTTTCTACTATATTAGAAGTTCGATTCAAAAACTTTTCCATTGGAAAAAATCGTCTTCGGCCTTTAATTCACACAAGAATCAAAACACCGTTTTTTACAGCGCAAATAAGCTCGTTTCGCTGTAGACCAATTTATTAAAATTGAAAAGTCTTTATTTTAGAAGTTACTCACTTCACGTAGTTTCGTGAGGAGGGTCATTTTTAATAAAAAAAAAAATCATTCCGTAAATATCTCTTAAAAAAGCGATTCAGATTTCGAAGTTTCTTGAAGCGTTCTCGTGAAAATATTGATCATTCATGCCTTATATCTTTCCACGAAGATTTGGTCTACGACACCCCAGCTCATTCACCGGCTTATTTGAAAGTATTTTAAAGCTTATGCAAATTCACTCGGATCCCGAACATGATTTGAGGCAAGCAGCTACGAATGAAAAAAAGTACGTTTAAAAACCGAGGATAAACTCGAAAACTTTCACAAATCCTTCACAAGATAAGCTTACGCAATCGATTGTAGATTTAAAAATTGCAAGCTGTTGAGAAGGAAACCTAATGGCATTTTTCTGCGTGCTAATAAATGCCGAGATCGAAATTAAAAACATTCAAGAATTTCAGTCCTCCAAAAATAATCATTTTAGAACTCTGAAAATTTTTTAAAATTTCATAAAAGCATGCCCCAATTTATAGCCATCAAATCGGCTTTTTCTGGACCATATTTAAAAAAACAACGACGTTATTGATCGGTATTTAAACCGGAAAAGGGGTATGTGACCATTAGTTCCCTTCCGAAGATACTAATTACGTGGAGTATACAGTTCGCATCCGCGACATACTCAGGGAGTCAGCAAGTATTGCACAATAAATTCCTTCCGTACATATTTTGTGCCAGAGAAGTGCAGAAAATAAATCAGAAGAAGGCGTGGAAACGTTTTTTATTATTGTATTATGAAACACTACATATTTAATCAAGCCTGTATAAACATTTGAGCAAGAAACAGAACTTTGGATTGTATCCAGGAAGATGGAGAAGCTCAGGGGAGATTCACCAAGATGAAGCTCAAAGATATGCAATGAGGATATATATAGATTTTTTTCGTATAGAAATGGTTTCTTTCCATCTAGAAATCATGCAGAAGTTGGGTTTGCAGGGATCACATGCCCCTCAGGGTTCTCAGCAGGCCGGTATTCGTTTCATCCCCACACACACACTCTCAGCATAGCCCAAATGAGCATCACTAAAACCCCTTTCGTTTGAGTGAGTTCAAGGTAAATATTCCTTGAGATTTCCTGGTAAAACGTCCGTCTCAAGTCTCTCAACACTTCCTTTTTTAAACTTGAAACACTACTTATCTCTTATTACACCTTAAAAAATGAATTTCATTCGGTGATTTTGGAGTTTATTTCAAAGGATATACATCAAGCAGCTTGAAGTATCAGTAGAATTCTTTCATTTTTGAAAAATATTATACTGTATTTTGACTTCATTTTTTTAAATTTAAAATAAAAAATCTATGAGAGCGCATGGAAATTACCTAATTTTAAATCTCCTGAGGCTGCACGGAAGATCCTGTTCTTAAGTATTTGAACGACGTTGCGACCTTAATAACGTAAACATGACATACAGTAATAATCTACGTTTTTTACTTCCTTAATGGAACTTCTCGAGACTTTATA